TACAACTACAAAGAATTCATATTAAATCTATTATATAAAATGACGCATCAAAACAATATAAAAATTCAAGTTAATAAATATATATTAAATGATGATAAATGACATGACAATGTAATAACATTGTTACGTCACTTTGCATGTAAGACTTTGTATAAACTATATTATTCATCTATTTTTTTTTCTTTTAAATAAAATAACGAAAAATTAAGTGATAGATTGGGACATTTAATTTGTTGAAAATTCTCATAGGTATGATAATAAAAACTCTTAGATTTGTAATATCAATTATTTTCTATCATTTTTATAGCTAAATCCAAAAATATAGTGGATTATTATTAGACTTTAAATTCTTCCAATATCAAGACCAGTCATCTAATTAGAACTTTACCCCCCATTTGGACTGACCTCAAGCACATGGTATGAATTCAATGTAATTTTAAGAGGATTGTGCGGTTGACAAGAATAACTTTTGACTGAATTAGAAAATTAAAATTGGGAAGTGGGGTTTGATTTCATCAAATTGACCAATGATATTTTCTTGTGGTGTCAGCAAGACGCTTAATCAGAATTAGAATTGAAATTCCAGGGAATTTCCATGTCGTCATTATGAGAATTTTCCTTCGTTGTCACATGGTGAGATGGCATGGGCATGCAGTTTTCTGGGATCCACGTGTTCTTGAATTTGGCAGGAAACGTAACAAGTGCGGCATCATATCCAAGTCAATCATTTTCATAGCATATAATTCTAATTTAATCACTTTCTAATTATTTTTTATGAATGAAATATATCCGGCAATATTAATTCTATTTTTTTTGTAATTTTAAAGTTCTTAAGTTTGGATATCTTGATTTTATCATGATCAAGTTTCTTCATGTTAAGAAATTATTTAAAAACAAAATTTAAATCAAATTAATTGCATCAAAGTATTATAAAAAAACTTCTTGTAACATTTTTCTTATATTATAAAACTTGGTTTGGAATATGAATTTTATTGACAGTGTCAATAAATTGTTTATTGGCCCATCTAACAATAAAAAACAAAAATTAATCAAACTTTTTTCTATTAAAATTTTTAAAAGTTTATCTTTTAATATTTATCGGTAATAGTTAAGTAGAGTCTAGAATTAAGAAAAGAGTAATGTTACATTTACACCACTTTTTTACACAATTTTTATTACATCATGATGTGGCATATATCACAACCACATAAATTCTATTATAATATATAAAATTTAAAATAATTAAAAATTTATGTGGTTATGACATATACCACATCATGATGTAATGAAAATGGTGTAAAAAAGTGGTGTAAATGTAACATTACTCGAAAGAAAAACATAAGGACATGTACATTTGAGAATGCCATTAATCTAATAATTCTTAAAATTCATACATTTCGGACTAAATATATGAAGAATTTTCGGACTTTAAATAAAGAGTTTGATGTAGTTGCATTCCTATTTTCTATTTATAAAATTAATTAAGTTTAACCCTAAAATTTATTGAAAAAGTTACAAAAAATATTTTTGTGAAACATATTTGAAAAAGGATACTCCCTTGGTAATCATATTTTTGTTACAATTTTAACCCTAATTATTAAAAATTTGGACAATAATGCCCTTATTTTGAAATTATTTTACCCAAACCCTACCATTAAAAATTTACCCCTAAGTAATTAAATTTTTGGACAATAATTCCCTTGATTTTAAAACAATTTACAAGCCACCCAATAAGACCATCGGTCGATGTGGCTGGAATAGCGCATGATCGGTTGGATTTGGCATGTCGTACGTCGATCTGGTTGTTTTCAATCAGATTGATATTTGTTAATGGCAATAGATCAAAGAATTTGGTAGGAAACGACCATAATAGATTTGGTTGTTTCTGGCCAGATCGGCACACAACTGGCCAGATCCGACTGGTCTTGCGTCGTTCCGGCATCGACAGTCGACCGTTGGCGAAGGTGGCCAGATCTGACCACCAGTCTTGGGTAGTTTTTTTAGTTCAAGGGTATTTATGTCTTAAATTTTTTATATATAAGATAAAATAGTCAATTAATATTTTTGTAAATTGTTTTCAAAACAAGGGCATTAATATAAAAAAAAATTAATAGTTAGGGGTAAAACTGTAAGAAAATTAAGATTATCAAATAATCTTAAAATACCTAATAAAATAGTGGTATTCAAATTATAACCAATAATAATTACTATTGGTTTTGGAAGATTACTAGAATCTTATATTACTTTCTAATTAAACATGGTAATGTAAATAATATAAGATGGCATTACCTCATTAATGAGAGATAACCATGTCGAACTGATCGTCACGGTCACAAAATCAAACCTAAGTGCCGTAGTTAACGGTAAGAAGGGTCGAATTCATAAGGAGCAAAGACTAATGATCTAATGTATATCTGAGTCAACGAAAGGGAAATTGGCAAATTGATTGATTAAAACTAAAGAAACTAATTAATAGCAGGAAATTAAAAGCATAAAATAAACTGCTAACTAAAACGCAATATTAAAAGTGTTGCCTCTACGGATTTGGTTCGACTCAAGACCAATTCTCACAATTCCTCCCATCGCTCTTCAATTTCCTAAACCTACAAGGCTAGGCAAATCAATAAAAACATCTCCCGACAATCTAGGTATAATTTATCTTGTCTCCTCGTCGTCTTAGTTATAGATCGATTAGTTAAAGACTATCATCGACTAACCAGAAAACGCTAAACCTTTAAACACCACTAGTTGATACAACACTAAAAAGTACAACTTATCAACTTGTATCATCCAATCAATCAATTACACAACAAATGCATTCCTAGTAGAAATGATATTAAATGCTAATACAACTTGATTGCAATCAATACCGAAGCAATTTAAAGCCATAATCAACATTCAATAATCTCCAACCGACATTCAATTATGCAAAACGTTGTATATCAACAAACGTTCTCAATGGACATTATCAATTCAGCACGTCAAGTATTAAAATAATATTAAAGCATCACAAACAAACTGAAACGAAAACAAATATAATCTAAATACAAGAACATCGGGCTTATCTTGATCTTGCCTACATCGTAATAGGCAACCGGGAGCTCAGCCGCTCATGGTGGTGTCGATGAAGGCTGGAATGTTGGGAACAAAGCTCGTCATGACGAAGAGGATGTAACCGACAACGAGATGGCACACTTCGTGGGTGGAGAAGACTATGAAAACACCCGGAAGATGAAGGGACACAGCTCATCGGAAAACGTTAGTGTTCAGCGGTGGTTCCCAGCGAATGGTGGCAAAATGGAGATCCGAGGGTATGGGGAGAAAGCTCTCGAGCTGGGGAGTCTGCCTATTGGTTGGGAAGTCGAGGCGATGTCGAAAAAGGAGCGAAAAGACGTCAGGAAGTCAAAGAGTCACGTTTTGGGAAGTGTTGATTCACACCGAAAAATAGCCAAATCGGTGGCAATAAAGCTCGGGGAAGGTGAGATGGAATAGGGGAAGATGACCCAACACTCAGGAAGTCGTACCGTCACCAAAAAAGGGTGAAAACAGCCCGGGAAGACGAAGAGTCGCGTGACTTGGGGAGGTGAACCGTCGTTCGACCTTGGCTCATGGAGGAGGTGATTTTGGAAGGTGGAAGCTCGCTGTAGCTTGATCAGTGAAGGTGAAGGGTTTTGGTGGCGGCAGCCACCAATCTACGACCTTTGGCTTCATTTTATGGTGAGGATAGAAAATATCATTTAGTCCCTATGTGAATAAAAAGTGACAAGATCAACCCAAGTGTTTATGACAATTTTTCCCCTAAATAGTGTAAATGAGAGAAAACGGACTCTAATTAACAAATCACACCCTAATATCAATTTACACAATCTCAAAATTAATTCCAAACATGCACAAATTGTAAAGAAAAATTAAAATGTGATTTTCCATTAATAATTCCATAATTTCTTCAGTTGTCTTAATATAATTTCAATTTAATTACACATAAGGTCCTTTTATCAACAAAATAGAGTCACATTCATGATTCTAATAAACCCCCAACCAAAGAGCCCTTTTATATTAATTTGTATACCGAATAGGAAAGTTAAAATGACAAAAAATAATATTTTTAAGGGTTATTTAAGAAGAAAATAATTAAATATGTAGAAGAGGAACATAACTTGTATATTGAAAAATTACGTAGGCTTTTTTTTTTGCACATGAAAAGAATAATATTATCATTTTGATATTAGAGACGAATATTGGATTGGGATTTCTGCTACATGCAGAAATCTCAAATGTCTTTGATGAAGTACATTATGATTTTCCAGTGTTCCACATTATATCATACAATATATAACAACTTATATATAAACCGAAGCCAGTATAAGATTTTCCAAAATTAAAAAGGGAAATTTTTTTTTTTTTTTTTTTTTTAACTAATACTCTACAGAGTAACCACAATGAACAATAAAAAAAAAATTATCAATGGAAATAATATTCTTTAAACTTTTAAGGGACGATAAATTTTAATATCTTTTTCATCTAAACAAGTATAGGGATTGATTGTTACAATCAACTTGATAGAAATTTTGATACATCTATCTATCCTTTGTAAGACCTTACATTATATTTACATATTTATTGATTGATGAACTGGACCTACGACGGTACGACACATGATGATACATTATATTTACATATTTCTTGATTGGTGGACTGGACCTGCGACGGTACAACACATTATGATACGTTATTTTCACATATTCCATGAGTGATGGACTGGACCTACGACGGTACAATGGATGTAAAGTGTAAACTTATTCAGATATCAAGGTTAATCTCTCCGATAAAGCAATCTATTCAAGTTTTAGGGATTTGTTGAATAAACCTTATATAAGTGAGAATTACCAAAGATCAACTGAAGTTCATCCTAAGATATCGGATGATGATAATTTTATAATAGTTCATAAGAGCCTTGCAAAATACATTGATTGAATTATCAAATAAAGTATCCATCAGGCCCCTTAATTTTGTTATAAATAAATAGCTTCTCTTACCCCATCCCAGAGAACCAATCAATTTGCTCCAAATCCCACCACAATTCATTATCAGAACCAATTGCCATGTTACTAGTTTCTCCGTTTACAGATTGTTGAGCATGGTCTCCTGAGGATGAACTCTCCATTGAGCTTGTTCTCTGAGGATCGATTTGAGCGTTCTGATGATGAGATGTTGTTATTAACTCATTATCATCAGCTTGTTGAACTAGCCTTGGCTCGCCAATTAGTAAACTGGCTGCTCCTGCTGCCGGTGGTGGTGGTGGACGTCGGTCAAAGTTCCGCAAGCATTTGGATTTCTTGTACACTCGGCACAAACTTAATTCTTGCCTTACCTGCATGCGAAGATTTTAAAGAAATCAAAGATAATTATAACTACTAAGATCTAAGAAATCTAGATTATTATAGTGTGCATTATTTATTCCATCCTGTTAAATTTTCTCAACATTATATTTAGTCTAACAGGCTCTCTATCATAAAACTTGGATTTTTTTTTTAATATTTTATTCAAGGCAAACATGGCGATACGAAATTCTGACATTTGGTTTTGATACATGTTAAATTAATACTCTACCTAACTGCTTAAGTTAAAAGGTATCCATCTCTTTCTATTATATAAAACCTTTGGTATAGGGACGCTAGTCGTAAAGACAAAATGAATGAGATAGATATGGAAAGTAATGACAATAACACAAATTAAAGAATACTATAATTTAGTTTAATTGGTTCGAATTTTTACGCATGATCACAGGCCAAAGACACAATAAGAATTTTACTAATAAAACAAACCGATCACAAACAAAAAACCTCACTTGTAAATATCCGAACAATCATTCTTAACGTAAGAATATCAACCAAATTTCTCACCTAATAAACTAATTTTCTTTTCATGGCTTTCTTGTGTTAAAGATTGTTAATCCGAATTCTATAGATATACACCAAACTTCAAACTAAAATGCACTTTTATTTTCCTAACTCACTTAGCTTTCTCTTCAAATCTTTTAAGCTTTAATGGATTGAAGATTTGGAGATTACTTGTCAAGCGTATATTCTAGTGAATGGGACATAACTGCATATCAAATTGTGTACAAAAGTTGGGATATTAAGCCTCCATCAGCACTTTGAACACTTGGGAAAATAGAAGTGATAATGATGTGCTCCCCAAAACATGCATCTATTAGCCAAGCAATTAATACAAAGTCAAGAAAGGAGGGAATGAATCATAATAAAACGCACGTTTTCTACCTTCGCATAATATTCAAACAAAGTCTTTGTAAACCCTTAAATAAGGAAAACTATTTTCTTAATATAGATGAGACATAATCTTCACTCAAGAGTTCTCTACTTTTACAATCACATAAATTGATCTCCGAAAAATGGAGAAATAACATATGAGATAGTCTCACAACATCATCATCCTAATAATAATCACTATCATGATTTATCAATAACACCTTTATGATGGATAACAGAAAAAAAAATAAAAAAATTACCACTTATATATGTAATTAATTTTGGATAGTCTTACTATATCAGTATAATGATTTGTAGACCTTCTTAGGCAATTAAGTTTTAATATTTTCACGATCTAACTATGTTAAAAAAATATATAAAAAAAATATTGTTAAGTTATATATCAATTTCAAAGTTTCAACTATGAAATTAACTAATCGGTCTATCTAAAAAAACAATTGTAACGGGGTTATAATTTCTTAACAAAAAGAGATTGAGTGTCGGATTAGGTTAATCGGATCATAATTGGCTGCTTGTAACTATTAATGTTTTGGGTTAACACATGATTATATTTACCAATTAAATTATATATGCAACCCATTTGCTAGTACCATATAAATTATTTATGTAATGAAACAAATAATTATCATAATTTAATTATTACATACCGGTGGAGTTGCAGAGGTAGATGCGGATGCTTCTCCTTCAATGGCTTTGTACTCGTTCATTTTCCACTCAGTTTTTCTTCCAGACGGAGCTCTTCCTCTATAGAAAACCATCGTTCTCTTTTCTCCAACAGCGCGATTTGAAGAGTAAACAAAACCAGGTGATCCAGTTGCTTTCCAATATCCTTCAGTTGTCAGTCTGTTTGGTCTCCCTCCGCGTGCTTCGCTCTCTTGTCTTGGAATGAAAAAGAACCATTGTTCAGGGTCTCTATGGCACAGGTATTGGGAAAATTCTGGATCAAAAATAAATTCAAAATAAATAAATAAATGTGAGTTTCATGATAATAAAACCGCTTTCTAGCTAGCCCTTTTAATTCTAAATTCTATACTCAATTTCCGTTTAAAGATTACAAGTTCGGTACAAAAAGCATAGATCTACTCAGATGCTATGTTGAATTTTAATACTCATAAAATGTTCGTACTCTCCCAAAAAATACTAGAAGAAAACACGTATAATTATTCTGGAGTTTTGAGCGATCGTTCTTTAAACGATTTTTTTCTTCTTGATTTTGTTTGTTCTCTTCAGCTTCATAAAAAGAAAAAACAAAATAATAATAATATTAAAGATTTATTAAACATATTTTAAGATGTATTTTTTCCTTCTTAATGACATTGTTCCCAGATACTTCAAATCTTTTTTTTTTAATCTGAAAATCCTTATTGATCTAACTTCATCTTCACAATATATCATGAGAAAAAAGTCAAGATATGTGGTGATAGATAAAAATTAAACAAAGAAAATCCTTTTGTTGAACAATAATAAATGGTGGTACAAAAAACTTTAAAAGTTATCGGTGGGCTTCATGTCAAAAGAAAAAAAAAAGGAATTCTAATGATGAAATGGGGTGCAAGTAATCGTATATACTGAGCTCAAACCATCTGTTTTTAAGAAACCTGCACTAAAAGCGATGATCGAAGACAAAAAGCAAAAGCAATAATTTAAAATGAGATAAGAGATGAAGAAATAAAGATTTTACGTGGAAGTTCCCATGGATTGAAATCGTATATATTGACGACTGGTATAACCTGGTCCATAAGACGGTTCAAGTCGTCTCTGGTACCTTGAAGCTTGTGATGAAGATAGAAGGAAACTAGTTCTTCTTCTGTTGGGTAAAAACGAAACCCAGGTGGCATCTCATCTATCATGATGATCAGAAATATATGTATTAACTACTATTTAGTAATTTAACTGGGATTCTAATATAAGTTCAGTTTTTCAATGGTGGTTTGATTTTCACGAAGAGTACCTCGTTATATATATGTAATTAAGGGGTGGGATATGATGAAAAAGTTAGGCAAGTGAGCGCTAATAAGAACGGGAGAGATATGAGACTACTTGGAAATTTCCAGGTTTTTGTGAAGAATTGTCTTCCCTTTCTCTCAGTACATGGTATCGGTCAATGGTAGAAGTTCACACTCTTATGCAGACCCTCTTTTATTTCCGTAAGGTTATAGTACCCTCTCATTATATCTCCGACATCGTACTGTTAACTACAGTGTCATTATACCAACAACGTTATAAATTTAAAAATATTAATATTATAACTTTTTCTTGGTAATTTCTTTTACAACTGTAACGTAACAATTTGTAATTGATTAGCTCATAATGAATCTTACCTAATAAATTATAGTTAACTAATTATTAACTGTTATGTCAGGGTTGTGGAAAAAATTTTATAAGAAAAGATTGTGAGTGTAATATTATTCTATAAATTAAAGCTAATTCTTTAAACCTCCAGGTTTGCTCAAACCCGAAAACCCTCTCAAAGTACCAATACTAATGCGAAACCCCTATCATTTGTCAGATGTTAAATATTTGCTTATTACAATTAAAAAAAAAAAAAAAGGATAATTATCATAAAAACCTCTCTTAGGCATGTGTTATGACCATCTTACCCTACATCTGACAACTAACGGGATTTTGTTAACGTCTGACAAATGTTAGGGGGTTTTGTATCATTATTGGTATTTAAGGTGGTTTTTTAGATCTGGATAAACCCTGGGAGGTTTAAAATAATTATCCCTTATACATTAGTACAAACTTATCGTAAAAATATTTAATTTAAAAATTATAAATTGAATTAATGAAAAAGAAAATTGTTGAGACTCTAATGTAAACATAAATACAAGGTAAAGGAGTGTGGGCCCCCTGAAATTTAAAAATTCATAAAATATCCCTTAGTATCCTTAATTAATTACATTGTGCCCCTGTAGAAATGGATAACAAATTAGAATATCCAAAATACACGTTTGTTTCCCTATTCTGAAAATACTATTATATTTTATTCAACTATTTTTAAACCCCCTAAGTTTATTAATTTAACTAAACACCCCTTGAAAAAAATTTAAAAATTGACAAAAACACCCCCACCCACCCACATTTGCTAGATTTCGGCCACCACCGCTGGCAAGTGGCCAAAATCTGATATAATGGCGCATTACCGACTGGATCTGGCCGGTAGTACGCCGATCTATCATTTACCGGCTAAATCTACGGCCAAAAAAAGGTTAGATCTTTGGTTATAGCTAGTCTTCAACAACGACCAAGATATGGTCGTCGTTGACCATCAATGACGACCATATCTTTGGTGGTTGTTGACAACCAAACATGGCCAGATCTGGCCGTAGATCTGGCTTTTTTCGGCCAGATCCACGATGGATCTGGCTGGAAATCACTATCTCAGCGCACGAACGATTAGATCTAACCAGTCATGTAGCGGTGGTGGCCGGCTGCCAATATTTAATGGGTGGGTGGGGGTGTTTTTATAATTTTTAATGTTTTTTATTACAGAGGTGTTTAGTAAATTACCAAACCTATCATGCCTCATTATTCCCATCCAACTCTAAAAATATCAAAAATACTATCTCAAATACTAAAACAAACACAAATTCCGCACTCAAACCATCTTTATTTCGGATAAATTATAGTACCGTCTTATTGTTAACAAGAGAATTTATGCTATCATAGTGTTAACACAGTATTAACATATCAACTGTATCACAAATTAGTGTAAATGTATTGTATAAATATTCAATTTTAGAATTAACAATTAAATTAAGAGCAAACGACATGTTCCCACCCAAGGTTTACTAAAATCCAAGGTTCATACCCTTGATTTCATTTATTCCAGATACCCACCCTTAATTTAATACCGTTTCTTTTATTTTAAAAGTTTAAGGGTAAAAGCGTCAAAACCCCATTTCTCTCAACTCACCACCATTGACTGCCCTTCCATTTCCTCCTTCTTCGTCTCTCCCATATTCTGACACAAGAACTTCATTTTACACTTTTTTTAACCCATTCTTCCTCTTCTTCTCTTCTCTCTTCCATATTCTTCCTCTTTTTCTTCTTCTCATTTTTTCTTTCTCTTCTCTCCACCAGATTCTTCCTCTTCTTCTTCTTCTTCTCCTCTTTTTATTCTCTCTTTCTTCTTCTCTTCTTTCCACCAACTGCTTCCCCTCTACCACTGCTAGTGAAAATTAATTGGTACACTGACTTGGGAAAATCGTCAAGCAGCTGGTTTGCGTTTGATAGGAGTAATTGTGTAGATGGTTGGGGAAGTGGAGAAAGCCCCAAAAAATACATCTCAATCAATCAAGACCACAACACTTCACACAAAACAACACCAAATTAACGAGTCAATTTTGATTTTGGCCGTCGAAAATGGCCAAAATCAGGCGAGTAAGAAAAGTGCGAACCCTAGTGATGGGCGGCAAAAGGGTGAGCAATTAGGGGCTAGAAGGTTGAGGGTTTTGATGAGGGGTTGTTTGTGAGTGTAATGGTGGTGTCGATTTTGGTTTTGGTCACCGAAAAGCTCTAGAATTTGGCGAGAGAGGTCGTGCGAACCCTAGCGACGCCGACATAAAATCGAGTGGAATCAGGTTGGGAAAATGGAGGTTTTAGAGGTGTAAGGGTGGTGGTGCTTGTGGTGATGATGGGGAAGGCCAACAGAGCTGGGATCGAGCCAAGTGAGACCGAAATCGGGTGGTGGTGAGGGATTGCAATGGCAGTAGATGGGTGGAATGGTGGTGTGGTGACTTTGGGGTTTCGTGAGGGAGAGAGAAGCGTGGTTGTGGCTATGGCTGTGGCCATGGGAGGGAGTGAGAAGCGGCAGAAGAGGAGGGGGAGATGAAGAAGAAGATGGGTGGGTAGTTTGGTAATTGCTCTCTTCATAATCCAACAGTGACTAACAATGTTAGTTTAAGGGTGGGAATCTGAAATAAATGAAACCAGAGGTATTACTTTAGGATTTCATCAAATCTCGAGTGGGAACATGTCATTTACTCTTAAATTAATTATAAGATTGATGAAAAAGAAAATATTCATACTCTCAATGTGGAAGTAAAGGTCCTCTAAAATTTGAAAATTCACATAATACCCTTTATATTCTTTAATTGCATTGTAACCCTTTAAATTTGGATAACTAATTAGAATAATGAAATTGCATATGAAAATATACGATTAGTTTTGTTTCTAATTTGTTATACATTTTTATGTTTTACTTGATGTATATGGATAAACTAATTAGAATAATGAAATTGCATATGACACAAGTGAGAACTAGATTTCTAATTATATATTTATTTTATTTTAATACAAAGAGAAAGTAATGTGACTTTATTCTTATATTGTTATGTCACATCAATCAACCTCATTTTTTTTTTTTTATCCTATTTTGTTGACTTTTCATACAATTCATTAACCATGTCTAGTTACGTAATTTAAGTTGAATATATTAATTACATGTTTAAATTAACTCAAAGTCTCAAACATATATCATATTCTTTGATTAATACACTCACAAATCACAGTATCGTTCATCAATGTTTCTAAAATGTACACGAATTTCAAAAATTGCATTATATATCCGGTTTCTTATAATTAAAAAAGATCTCGTTAGTTTGTGTCGACTAATGTTAATTAAATTTTGTTTATTAGTATTAGTTGCGCCAATAACGGAATTTTGAATTAAAAAAAATACTGGTATATATCAGATTATTCTTGATTTTTTTTATTCATAAAGTCTTGCAGGTCTGCTGCTTCTTATATTCAGATGAGTTAATTCTTACTAACCACAATATAAAGTCCGAATTTTAAATTCACACTTTTTTTTTTTTTTTTTTTTTTTGAGGCTATTGGACAGCATTTCTGAATCCAAAGCCATTTGTTTTTTTTTAAATGTTTATCACATTGAAAAGTAGAAATTGACCTTGACTGTCAATTTTCTTTTTCTTTTTCTTGGAGCCAAAACTGAAATTGCATGCAGCACGCTGATTTACTATTTTGCTGGTTAATATATTTATTTATTGAGAGATTTTTTTTTTAAATCAGTGGGGTGTCTGAATCAGCTTGCGTGCATCTCAACTAATCCTTCGGGACCCTGAAACTAAATGTGAGAATTAGGCTTGGACCCAAAAAACCCAACCCAAAAAACCGATCTTATAAGGATAGGTCCTAGGACCAAACCAGGCCCAAGGGAGGAGGGCCCTAGCCTAGGGCCGATCCCTCCTCCAAGACCCGATCCCAAGCCTGGGCCCAAACCCCCTCCCCAATTTCCTTTTAACCCCTATAAAATATCCAAAATCCCCTATTTAATGAATTTACAATAAATTTAGGGGTTAAAATGAAATTTAACAAAAAAAATTTGTCCAGGAGCGGTCCTATGGGCTATTTTGCAATTCAAACCCTCAATTAGGGACTTTTAATCAATGTTTTAATAACCAACCCAGGGTAAAACCCAGTAAAGTGGTCAGGTCCTAGGTTAACTGGTTGAACCAGTTTGACCGACGGTTCAAACCGGTGTCCAACTAAAAATTACTATAAGCCACTACAAAATTGAAATCTTGCAAAAACACCCCAAACACCACCACCAGCATTGACAACCCAGGCCAAATAGGATCTGTTTCTAACGACGACAACACTCTCCATCACTGCGAAAACACTCCCCTTAGCCTCCTAACCAAAACCCATCTCACCCCTCCCCCGTTCGCTCCACCAATTGTCGGCAATAGGTTGCTATTTTGGCCGATTGATTTTTGCCTTTTCCAATCGATTCACTCACCAGAAATCACTCCCTTCACCACCTTTGGATTCACTAACACTCTCTCTCAAAAAGCCCCAACATAATTGTCATTGTATGCTCACCGATCGTCGTCCATAATTCTAAGGGTTGAGGGTGAATACTTGAAAGTGATAACCTGTTTGGCGAAGGCCCGAG